TTGCATATGATATTATATGCAATTGATCCTTTGGTAAGCTCAAGGAAAATGCATAAAAACGTGTAATGAAAAATTTGAGCAAGAATATGCAAAGCTGTAGATTTGTGGAAATTCTTCAAGTGTTCATTGAGAACAAATAAATATTGATATAGTCCCACAATGGAATATTCATCTTCTTATAATGATAATAACTATATCTACACCCAGCATGGATAAATACTTCAATTATAAGTTGAGTAAGAAAAGTAGTAAGTAAAAGAGTTCATCTGTATTCCATTAAAATAAATTTCAGGAAAGGCAAACATGGTCAATGATGATGAAAATCAGGAGTGAGGTATTATTCTGTCTTGGGGAATAAAACTACTCCTGTGTGTATTTGGAAAGATTTACCTGAATACTAAATATTTGTGTGCTCCTGGTTATATTTATTGTACTTCAATAAAAGTAAGACTATGCTGACAATAAAAATTTAGAAACTGGAATAGAATTTTTGCATCACCCAAATACTATGCCTTCACTACTGGACTGCCTCGGAAGATTTTACTTTGTGTTTACTTTAGTATAGAATCCTGTATTTTTGTCATTTACTTTACTTGTGGTTTGGCTTTGTTGCAGAGGTTCGATGCACCTCAAGTCTAAATCCTCAAATTATGTCAATAAGAGCAATTCAGGCAAAACAATGGAAAGGTATAGTGTTCACACTATTTCTGAAACTATTCAGAAATTTAGTTTTCAATCCGTGGAAGGAATAATTATACAGGAAATAAGAAAAAATGTTTTCAATGAAACTGAATCTATATCAATTGTTTAAGTTGATGACTAGTTCATGCATTGAGCAAAATGAATAGAAAAAAAATAGGCACTTCTTTTAAGAAAGAGCATGTTTGGCTAAGGCCCAAGACTGAACTTCATCATTCACTGAACTTTCCTATTACATCTCTAGTTATGTTAAACCACTGATTTTAAGCTTTCTTTTCTTATTTTTTGCATTTCAAAATATGAGCCCAATCAGTACAAAGGAGTATTTTTATAGTTATTTATCTGTCTCTATTAATTTAACTACCTGGAAATTACTTGGAATTACAATAATCACTTGTTAATAGATAATACAGTCATTGAACCATCTTTAGTGTAGAATTCCCTTCTTGGTTATCTCATGAGAATCTCCAGAGAAAATCACAAAATTTTACTTTCTTTATGAAATCTTCAATAAGCTAGGAATTTTTTTTAAAGGTTTATTTATTTATACATACAGAACTGGGGTACAGGCCAGAGGTGCAGGGTGGTGGGAGGATTCACCAGAGACAGAGTAGGGAACAGAACAAGCAGATCAATGAAGTACACTGCTGAGGGGAGCAGAGGGCGGGTCAGGAGAGGTCTGCCACACCATGTGGTCACCTCCAGGGCAGGTGGGGATCAAATTCATGCGGAAGTGTCTTTAACTTCTTAGTGCTCTGTTTTAACCAGCTGTGCTACCAGGAAGGGCCTAGCTTGGAATTTTTAATACTCCTTCTAATACAAGAGAGAGGACATATAGAGAGAGGATACAGTTGTATGAAATATTTTGTTCTTTCTCCTTTTTCTTCTCTATTCATCACTGCACAAAACATTTCTCTATAAGATTTATGACAACACTTGTCTTCCTCCCTGAAGGACATAGAACAGTCAGTCCCATCTCATGAAAGACTCCATCACAAAAATTACTATATTACTCATTCACTGGACTTTGTGCATTTTACCAAAGACATTCCTTTCTAATTAGCAAGTTACAAATCACATTAACCTAGGCAATCTTTATTATGCCACTGTCATCTCTATTTAAACAGTAAACAATTTCTAATTATTACATATTTTATAAAAGAACAACATTTACAAACCTATCCAAAGGCTTTCAGATAGTGTCCTTGTAATATTGGCTTCTGAGAATGGACAGAGCCAACGTACTACTACCTAATTATGTTTAGATGCTGGTATTTTAAGATATAATTAGATGTTAAGTATCTGGAGGAGAGGTTTTAATACATAATTCCGTATAAGATCATACAGTAATGACACTTTGGATTCAAATGAACTTAAATGTATTGAATTACACTTTTGCATATTCAGAAGTTTACAAATTCATAGAAGTCTTCAAAGTTATACTTTCTATTTATGTTTACTTTTTAGTGTAAGTCAGTTCCAGAAGATAATTTCATGAGAGGAAATATTATTTATTCCCTTTCATATCGCCCTATTCCAATATGTTCTTTTCCTAACTTGGCCTATCTACATCCTTTACTCCCCTTTCCTACTAGTTCTTTGTTATGTCACATGAAATTATATCTTTTGAGGGTTTGAGGGGATAAGTACTATTTCATTTTACCATTTATCAACATAGGATTCCCCTCCATATCATATAATTCATTTCATAAGGATAAAAATATAACATAGATTTTCAAAATACTCACTGTTAGAGAAATGTTGTTACAATTATTTTGCTCTGAGAGCTGATCAATAGGAAAGGCCAGAAGGCCTGAAGTGTGAGCTGGAAACTGATTTTCTTACAATATGTAAATAGAAAAATATAATCATATGCATTTCCAATTTTAAAATGGCTTTTTCATATACTTTATATGAATAAGTATGAAAACTAAATGTGAAGACAGTTAATACAGCCAATCTACTACACAAATTAAAGGCTAATTCATAGATATTCAATTTTTTTTTCAGAAATAGACCAAGTTACAGAAGTCCATACCACATTAACTTAAATTAATAAAGATGGGCCCTCCCTGGTGGCGCAGCGGGTTAAAGCACTGCACTGAGAAGCTAAAGCCACTTCCGCATGAGTTTGATTCCCGCCTGCCCTGGAGGAGACCACATGGCGTGGCAGACCTCTCCTGACCCGCCCGCTGCTCCCCTCAGCAGTGTACTTCGTAGATCTGCCTGTTCTGCTCCCCACTCTGTCTCTGGTGAAGCCTCTCACCGCCCCTGAGCCTCTGGCCTGTACCCCAGTTCTGTATGTACAAATAAATAAATCTTTAAAAAAAAATTAATAAAGATGATAAAACAAACATATTGACAAGAATATTCTAGGAAGTAGGAACTAGTTCATAATACACCTAAGAATTCAAGAGTAACTTTTACTAAACATATTTCTAAGGAACACACATGCAAATTTCATATTCTGAAAAAAATTATAAATTGTATTATAACGAATGTATCAAAACAACTATCTCTAGACTCATAGATATATCAGTCTTAGGGGATTTGCAGTTGGCACCAGTTGATAAGTCCTTGCTGGGGAAGGAAAAAACAACAGTCTAGATGAGCTACTCCACAGGCAGAGGCTATGAACAGAGTCACCTGTGACAGCAAAATCTTATAACTCAAATTATCATAGTCATTTCTTATGGCACAAGATATCTGTAATGTGGTTGGACTCTGCACCAAAACAAGGAGAGTTCAAGACGTTTTAACAAAACTTGAGTTTGGGACCATGAATTTAGCATGTAATTTGACACACACTGATGTAATGGACAAGTAAATCCTACAAATAACTGCATCTGAGGCAAAGCTGGCGTTAAGAAACAAATATTTCAAGGAAACATCCACAAGAGCCCAAGCTGATAAGCATAAATGCGGCACAGTAGGAAGAAGGGACTATGGGCCTGGAGAACTAAGATAGGTCAAATGCTCATTCTTGAATCAGGAACCAGGGAATGCGCGTGAAGACCTGTCCTTAAATGTGTTGGGCCAGGGGAGAAGGGACAGCCAGCCTCCCTGGAAGCAGGGGGATGATGAGAACAAGACAGGGACACTTCAGAGAAGATAGAAAAAAGGGGAAAATGAAAAATGAAAAGGAAAAGGAGACCTCATAAGTCAAGATCATTTTACATGGTTGTGAACGAACATGTGTGTGTGTATGTATGTGTATGTATAGATGTGGAAATACGGCTGCATTACTGTGGATAAGAAGAGAGACAAAGGGAGGACAAAGAACAGGGTTTCAGTCTGGAGCATTTCTCTTAGGCAATATTTAGATTTTAACAGCAGCTATGATCTTATCTGGGGTGTTGCAGGGGCTCTGAATGGATTAAAATCTATTCAAACACAAGATGAAGTAATTCTCAAATAGGGACCATGCCAATCGATGATTCTCAGAATAAGAGGAGAGTGCTGAAATTGGGAAGAGTGTTTGCAAGCAATCAGGCCTCAGTCTAGTCCCAGAGAGCAGAGCTGCAGTTCTCAGGTAAGAGTCCTGTGGAGCCGTAGGGAGACTGATGGGAATCTTTCACCTTTGGAAATTCAGAAATTCAATACTCAGATATTAGAAATTTGGATAATGGGAAGTTAGCTATAGAAACACTTCCAAAATCTGAACCACATAACCAATGTAATCCAACTAGAGGCACAGTGAGATGAACTATGACACAAGGAACAATTTGAAATAGAGACAGAGAACAAGTGCCTGGGTCAAGTTTTCAGCAAAGGGAAATTAGTGTGGAACAAGAAACTGTGGTATTAGTGTGCAAACAGCATTCTGTGGGATACTTTTATTTTAATATTTATTTATTTATACATACAAGAATTAGGGTACAGTCCAGAGACAAGAGTGGGGAGCAGAAGAGGCAGAGTGACTGAAATACACTGTGGAGGCGAGCAGTGGGCTAAACAGAAGTCTGCTGCAACATGTGGGTTACCTCCCTGGCCAGGGATTGAACTCCTGCTGCAGTGGCTGTGGATAGCTTCACAGTGCTGCACTTTAACCCTTGAGTCACCAGGGAGGCCCTCTCCCTCCGTGGGATACTTCCATAGGTACAGGAAATTAATTCTAAATCATATGTATGGAGGTTGGCCCTAATATCAGAGCCAAAATGGAATCTCAGAGTCAGTAGAGAAAAGGTGGAACTGATTAAGACATTGAAAATCAGTTTCAAACTAATCACTTGGCTGCACGAGTCAGAACTGCCCATTTCAACAAATCATATTTCTTTCTTCAAATTTGTGATTGAGGCTCTTTAGAGCTCTGTGCGAAATTGAAGTGCCATCCCAGACATTTCCTTCTTATAAACAGCATCAAATTTCTCATTTTGGGCCACAGTGAAGTGATTCTTCCAATCACCTGTAATCCCTAAAAATAACAAAACAAAACAAAGCATGAAGGTATAAAATGATTCCAATATGAAGGAAAAAGGTAATGTATACTAAAAGAAAATATTGGAAGAGATAAAGCAGGGCTTCCCACATATTTGAACAGTTGAAGATGTCATTTTTGTCTTATTAGTAATTCCTCCCACCCTGAAAGCTGGTTTATCACTAAACAGAGACTGACTTTCAAAATACTTTCTGAGAAGGGCTGACTTTCTTTTTTAATGCAAGGGATGTACCACAGATTACTGGAATAGATTCTTTCAGTGTTTCTAGTCATCCTAGTTCGGAGCTTACTATTAGATTAATGATCATTTTTATATTTTGAGTTCTTTTTGGAAGCTGTCACAAAGGCCAGGTCACCAGCACAATACAAACTTGAAATAGAAGCTGACAAGTATCATTTTTCAAAATGCAGAAATGAGGATGTTAGACTATTTTGAGGATGCTTTCTTTCCTGAACTCACTAGACTTATATTTTATTTCAAATAAAAATAAGAAAATCATTAAAATTAAGCATTACATCCCTGAATCTTTACAGAAATAAAGTTTTCAGGATATAAATTTACATTACAGCTTTGTAAAAATTTATTTGAATAAATAAGTTTTAAAGTACTGTCATTGTGCTTGATGGAAAATATTTTTGCTATCTTATGAATGTTAATTACATCCTATTGAATTGTAAGATTTGTTAATTCTATGATGGCTTCATGAAAATTTATGGATACTTTAATGAAAAACACCCCAGGGCCCTCCCTGGTGGTACAGTGGATTGGAGCACCCCACTAAAAAGCTGGCCTCCGCAGCTTCAGTGCGAGTTCAGTCCCCCATCCTGGAGGTGATCCACAGGTCTCCGGAGACTTCTCCTGTCAGGTCTGCTGCTTCCTTCAGCAGTGTACTTCTTTGAGCTGCCTGTTCTGCTCCCCACTCTGTCTGGTGAATTCTCTCACTGCCCCTGTACCTTTGGCCTGTACCCCTGTTTTAATATGCATAAATGAATAAAATATTTTTAAAAATTAAAAAAAAGAAAGAAAGAAAAACATCCCCCTAGATAGATAAGATTTTTTCCCCCAGGTTTTTATTCTTTGCTCTGTGTCTCTCAGATAGCAATAATATAATGTATATGAGGCTAGTAATATTTGAGATAGTACTCATTAATAATGCTGTTCTTAAAAAGAGAACTAACACTAAAACTATAAAGAATTATAATAAATTATTCCAATTGTCTTTTATTTGTTTATTCTTAAAAACTTTATTTATTTTAAAGATTTATTTATTTATGCATACAGAACTGGGTTACAGGCCAGTGGTGTAGAGGCAGTGAAAGGATTCACCAGAGACAGAGTGGGGAGCAGAACAGGCAGATCCCTGAAGTACACTGCTGTGGGGAGCAGTGGGTGAGACAGGCGAGGCCTGCCGCGCCTTGTGGATCACCTCTGGTGCCAGAGATCAAACTTGCACTGAGGCAGCTGCTGCTCTTTGCAGTGCTGCGTCCTAACCCACTGGCCACCAGGGAGAGCCCTATCTTTTGTTTTTAAGAGTAAATTATTATAGACAGATTTATTTCATAAGAGGGAAGGCAGTATAAAACATTTTTTTATAAAAGAAATCCTGGTCAAAGTTTGAAAATTTCTGTTTTGCAGCATTTAGTAAATTAATATAAACAGTGGGTATTATCGATCCTCTTCCTGCTCTTTACTATTGTTTGACTAAATTTTTACATTAACTTACCTAACATAGCACCCTTCAAGATTTACACTTAAGGCTATTGTTGGGAAATTCAATGTATCTTTTTTTTTTTTTAAAGTAAAAGCATGACTTGAAAACATTGACTACTTGTTAGCTTAATAAGTTAAAGAAAAATGACTCAGAAAAAAGTGCAAGCATACAATTCTTTTCAAGATTAAGAGTTTTGATCTATGTGTTCATGTGCAAAACAAATTCTTAAGATTGTGTTTTTGTTCAAGAATGCCAACTAATATTCTACTCTTTTCTCTCCAATTCAACAAAAAATATGAAAACTGAGGGTGACATTATTACTGGATAACTTCTTGAATTAAATTAAGCTAGTTTGTGCAATATATTGTTCTTATTACCAAAAAAAAAAAAAACACTTTTTATACAAATCATATACAATAATCTACAATCCACAGGATTTTCTTCATTGGAAATACAGCTGAATTTCAACAGTGTCAAATTTCTGGCTAGTCATCTCTCTAAGTTGAATTTAGTTGAATTTACGCTTTCTATAATATAGATAGTATTTTTATGGAGTAAAACTTCCCACAAGATAAGAATATCTACTTGTTTTTCTGGAATCCTTCATGAGTGTTCAATGAACACTTTCAAGTATTATATGAGATTTTTAGAGAAGATGGTAGTAGTGGCAAATTTTACTAGTAAGGAGAGAAAGGAAACTCATGTTGCCTTTTACAAAAATTTAAGTTTTAGGAACAACAAATTTGAAATGATTTTCATAAAATTATCAAAACCGCTGTCATTTAGCATCCTAGATAAAAAGAGGCATAAATATGAAGTATTTAAGGTACTCAGATAACAGCTTTACTATCCCATTTAGTAATTTCTAATAGAACTCAGCAATTGTTACAGTAGTATTTTTACTGCCCTTATTTCTCAATGAAGAAAGTAGCTAATTTTAAAAAAAGTAACTAAGCAGGGATTAGAACACTAATTTTCAATTCAGAGTAACTTATAAGAGAGTAAAAAATGGGGTAGGTAAGTCAAGAAAAAAAGTGGACAATGGGACTATAAAGAATAGAACTAAATTTTAAGCGCTGAACTAATCTAATATATACATAAGGTGACATAATACTATAATGTAGTGTTACTTCAATAAAGGTTAATAAATCAATACAGTTATCTATAGGTTAATAAAGCAATACAGTTATCTATGGGAAGAAGAAAGTAAAAAAAGGAAACGAAACTTGGTAAAATAGTCACCTTTGCGCATAAAAGGGGATTTGCTGTGATCCATCACTGTACTTGGCAGATGTGTATAATTCACCCGAGGATTGTCCTTCATCATTTCAAAGGAGGTGTGATGCATGATCTTATCCAACACTGCATCACTCAGTTCCTTCTCTAAAAATCTAGCAATCTTCTTGATTTCCTGTTTTGAATTCTATCATTCGGTAGAAACA